AAAGCCCCCAAAGCAGGGAAACAAATGTGTGTGTGTTGGAAACCACTAGAGGATGACTGAAAGCTGCTTGTTTTTTGGTAGTGTGTGCGTTGTGTGTGCACGCACAAAATTTTTCAGTTACCTTTCTGAGAAACAAGGACATACAGATGATGAGATTTGGCTCTGCTTATGTTGAGGACCCAAAGAATCTCAGTGAGTCAGGCAAAGTGAATCAGAAAGATGCACTTGCTTTTTCTTTTCCCCAAACACTTTATTAAACAAACTTGTAAAAAGGGAAAATGGTAGTTGCCTTGCATATTAATAGGATAAGGTTGGATGAATCACTAAGTTGATAATGCCACAAGAAGTTATAGAGATCGTTTCTGGAAATGCTGAAACTGATCCTGTTGGTATTCTCTCTGGTAACTTGAGTTGGTAAATGTGAGAGTATCTGTTTTTTCTCAGTTCCAAAATTGTTGAAAGTCGGAGCCTGTGTTTATGAAAGTTCTTACAACAGAGACCTGAATCATGCAATTTACACTGAATTTATGGGCACTGTCTTCTTTACTCAGCTGTCTCTTGTCACGGGGGAGATGGGAGGATGCCCAGATTCCAAGGGAGTGTTGTCTGTTCTTATGAATCTCTATGATTATTCACTTATGCATAGTGGTTGTTAAGTGTAGACCTGAACCACTGTTTTTAGTCCTTCTGCTTGGAAGGGATTTCTTTCCTTCTCCCCATCCACTGGGTCTGTGGAGGTACGTGACTGCTGTGATGGGCATGAGAGCCTCCTTTAATTTAAAAATACAAGTTGAGGAAAAGGTTTCTTCCTACTGAATGGTCCATTGCTCATTTTAATGGTTGGTCTTATAGTTCCCATACAGTAGCATCGTGATATGAGCTGTTTTTTCTCTATATTGCTGTTGAAGTTCAAGATGAAAACTGAAAAGGTATTGGCTAGTTTTCACGATGGCTTGGGAAAACTGTGAGCCTTGTCAGTGGGATCTGGAACTCTGTTGTGTGTAATAGTTTCTGCTTAATCTTTGCTCAGAAAGATGCCTCTGCAACCTCTACTCCTACCTCAAGCTAGGAACTTTGAAGTGTAATACTAGCTTTTTATAGAAGAGTGCTGAATTGATTGATCTAATCCTATAAAAGTGGTTTAATAGCTTTCCAAAGAAGAATGGAAAAGTCTTACTATTTTTTACCAGATCCAAAACAATACAGGTGTTTTCTTCACATGACTAACAGTGGTGGAGTAAATTTTTACACCTGCACCATAAAGCATGTAGACAATAGGTTCTCAAACATGTTATCCGTATACATGACTATGAGATACTGTCTGCAGAATACACACAATATACTGTTGGAAAAGTATCTTCCAAGTTCTGTTTGATTACGTGGGGAAAAAGAAACCAATGCAACCTGTTCTCCAGTTGCTGGAACATACGTAAAAACAAGTCAATTTTTTCCCTGTAGGAAGCAGCTGGAATGCAAAATATCTTCGATTTCAGCTCTTACATATATTTCCCCTATTTCTGTGGGTTCATCTTATAGCAATAAGGGAAATTGTAAAAATTACTATATACCAGCCTCTGAAACTTGAAGTGCATAGGGAGAGCAGAGTTGATTGCTAACGAGTATTTAAGTTCTACGCCAGCTGTGCAGAATAAACATTTCTGTAGCTTTTCTTGAATAGTTGAACTACAGATGAAATGCTGTTTTCACATGAGAGTTCTTGTTCCGCGTGTTTCAGGCAACTCCTTTACGTCTAGAGACAATCCTTTAATCTCCTCCATCTTCAGGGAAGAAGGTTTCTGTATGACTATTTTTCATTAAGGTCAGTTTTTGTCATGATGAGAAGTAATTCTCAGAAATTCTGCTCTTTTAGAGCTTTGCTGAGTGACTTTCAGAGTAAAGGAATACAGCTTTTAGAAAGCCTCAAAGGAATTTAATAAGGGATAATATTACAGATGCTTACAAATGGTTTCTTGAAAGTGTAGTGTGAATGTATAACCTTTATTTTCATTAGTCTTTTAATGCTTCAATTTATCTCCTTCAGCTTCCTATGTAATTCAGCTTGACTTTCAATTACCCATTAAAGGAGCAATCAATAGAACCGTACAACTGTTGATAATTCTACTTAAGTTGTTTCTGGTAACATTGTGAAGGTAAACTGGAGATAATTCAGTCAGTTTTGTCAGCATGTTTGTCTGATTTTTGTGTTTTGGGAGTTTTGTTCAAAATTCAGTAAAGTAGTACATGCGATGGGTGGGATGCAATCCTACAGACATACATGTGAGGTTGTTGGGACACTGGCTGACATGAAAATCGGTCATAGATCAGGTTTTGATTGAGTTATACTAACTTAATTGTAATCAGTGGATAAATAGGGAGCTCTAAGCATAAGTTCATTCATTAAAAATGTGTGTCTACTGGAATAATGGACTTGATCAGTATGTGGGCAGACAAGATTATTGCTACTTAGTACAGAAGTTAATTTCTTCTACCTTAGTCTCTACCAATAAAAATAAATCATTGTGCTTTTCATAAGCACACACCAAAATTGCAAAGTACATTAAATTTGCCAAAAGGGTAAAACATACTGCAGCATGTGCCAGCCCAAGCTAAATAGTGTGTGTTACATTGCTTCTTTTGTCTTTACAGTTGGAAAAAAGTCATCTGTGATCACTTCTTAAGGAATGCAATGAAAGTCTTGTAAAGAATTGAACCTAAGTCAGATATTAGGATGCTAATGTGCTTACACCTCCTTCACACAACAGCTGCTTTTAGGTCGTAGTTGTTTGACACTCACCTCTGGCTTTGTAAAGATTTCTGTGTTTGTGGTGAGAGCTGATACTGTGCTGCAATGATCCAGAACGGCAAAACTGCAGCCTGCTTTCAGGCGCGTGTCTGAATCTGTCAGGGTCTCTTCCCACGCACAGCTGATAGACTTGTGTATCTCTAGTTTGAAGCCCACAAACAAGAGTTCTGATAATGCATGACCCAGAAAATAACCCTCATCCTAGTAAGGTGAAGGATGTGGAAATGCATGTTCTGGTTATTTTTGCTGTACTGGTTTACATAATACAAAGTCTAAACAGCTAAAGCTAGTGAGATCAATTAACAGTAATGAAGCAGTCCCGTGTCCTTTCAAAACCTTGTAGGTAACAGTTTCTTTTAACTCTTATGAAAGCTTAAATGATATTTAAGTCTTAAGGCAGTGTGCAGTTGTGTAAAAGCGGATGTCCGGTGTCCTTTTAGGCGCAACAAGGTATGCCAGTGCAAAAGGCTGTGTATCACCTGTGTAGGTCTTACTGTCATATCTGCCAGTGCCACGGAGATGTCTCAGAAGCACTGTATTCAGTATTACTTAAACTTTGCAGTATTAATGAAATTAGCATTGTGGGCTTTACGTCTGTGCGGCTGAAATACTGCATGTTTTTGAAAAAATAGTTCAGTGAAAGCAAAACCATAAAATGGACACACTTCAGTGTTTCTGTAAAATCAGACTGTACTTGAAAAAAATACACTGAGTTTTATTTTGCACAGCATCCATACAGAAGTAGCCTTCCATCTAGCTGCTGTGTGGTGCAAATACATGTTTTTCAAATGATAAATAAGAAATAACCTGCATATGTATAATGATTCAGTTTTTAGCCTGTACTTGGTTGGATTAAAACAACTTATATCCCAGTCCCTTCTCCATTCATTCGTTGCACAGATTGCTTCTAGCACAGTCATAGTTGTTTCTATCATGTGTTTACATTTCTTGGTCAATCTACTAAATGGATACGTATGTGCTGCATTTGATAGTACTAAACCAGCATGCAGGTTCCTGTTCCATGCTAGCACTGTCTACACACGTGCTCCTGTGTGTACAGCCAGAGAAAGGTGTTCCTCCACCATCAGAGAAATCTTGGCTTCCCACCCTTTTCTAGATGAGCATTATTTGAATGCTTCTCTTTATTTCGAAGGATGGAGGGGAGAATGGCAGTCTGCTGGCAAAAGGAAACCTCCTGTGCCCTCCGGCTTCCCTTCCTATGTGATTCTAGTGCTGTTTATCTCTTCTTCCCAGCTGTTAGGTACTCTGGGAGTGGGGTGGTCAGAAGAGGGATTGTGGCTGCTGAGAGTGGCATGTCCTGTTCCAGGGCTAACTTCCCTCCTGTCCCCTGCAAGCTGTGCTTTGTAGGGAAAAAAAAGGAAAAGAGCACTCTTGTCACTGTCTGGCTTAGAGCCTTGAGAGAATGTGTGCTCCTTCTTTTCATAACCTAAACATCAGGTTTTTTTGGTTAATTTGTACTCCTAAGAAGTCATTTTTCTGTTTGTGTACTTGCAGATGGTGCTAGGTTTTAAAAACTTCTGTAAGTTAAGGATTTGTATGGGCTATAATGAAGTTATAGTGGAAGTAGGAAGAATGTTATATTTCTGTAGTCTTTACTATTTTTTTTTTTAATTAAAGCTTTAAAAAACCTAATTGCATGCCTAGTAAACTGGTTACTACAGATTTTAACAGTTATGAGGATAACTGTATCCATAATACTTCAGGCTTTATTTTTAAGCTCCTTTACAGAACCTTCTTTCCATTTTCTTGCACTCTTGATATGATCAATGTAGCCATAATAGAGAAACCACTTGCCCATTGTGTGGATTCTGACAAATATGGGAATGGTTAAAGCTCCTGTGGATTTAGGGTTGGACCTGTGAAGCAGTACCGGCACTCTTTCATTTACCAGCATCCTATGCATTAGTACAAGAGAATTTTATTGTGTGCCTTTTATAAAAAGTGCCATAGAACTTAAAATTTAACGCATTCTGCTTCTTTTAAGTATTACAGTGCTCATGGAAAATGTGCTGTAAGACTAGAAACATGATTCGGTTATGTGGTTAATTAAAAAAAAGGCAGATTTTTAATATGAGCTCAGTCAGTGGAAGACATCAACAAAGACTTTTTTTGTTGGCTGTCAAGTGAGAAAAACAGAATAGACGTAAATTCTTTCTCTAATATTTCCTTCCAGGCTGACTCATCAGTAGAAATTGGGAAGAGCTGCAGAAGAGGAGCCAAACAGACAAGCTGATAACTCAAAGAAATACTCTTTTGAGTTGGGGGTTCAGAGTGGAGCCATCATGAGCGATGTTACCATTGTGAAGGAAGGCTGGGTTCAGAAGAGGGGTAAGTTCTACCTTTTAATGGAAAGTTCTTCTGACGTATCATACGCTGTGTGCAGTGGCATTACATGGTTACACATATGAGCATTCTTGATTTATCTTCTGGTCTGCAGCGAGCTAATCTGACCATATGGAATTAATGGCCATTAAGGCCTTGGTCTTGTTAATACTTAACCTTCAGCACTGCCCCTGTTTATAGGGGTAACTGACAGTGAAGAGGAAGTTGGACTCGATAATTCCCACTTAACCTTGCTCTAGCAGCTGCTATCACCCATGTATCAGACTAGTGCAGGCTGTTGTGGCAGCTGGAAGAGGTAGGAACAGAGGTGCACAGTCGAAGGTTGCTTGGAAGCTGTTGCGGATGCAATACTTTGCGTGAAACTTCCCAGATGCCAAAATCATTCACTGTGTCTCAGCTTGTATTACAAATACAAGTAGTCCCTATAAAGACAACATACTTGCATAAAGCTTAGCATACACCTAATTACTTCACAGACCCGGAAGCCATATGATTAAAGAATGTGTTCCTAATTATAAGCCAGTCAAAAGTATGATTTTTCTGTTATATTTGAATTCCTGTAAATTCTTGAGATGTCACTTTATAATGTGTCACCATGTGATTTACAAATTTGGGAAGGTTGCTGTATATTAAGCTTCGAATGGTAAACCTCTGGAAATATCTGGCATTTGTATCATGTAATGAACTTGGGATGAAATCTTCCATGCTTTGTGCTGCTCTGCTTTGGGTTGTGGTTGCGCACATGATTATTTCCAAAAGAACATCATCTTTCTTGCAGAGAGAAGGTGATCTGGATTATAGGGTGGTTTATGCCATGAGCTTCTGTGATTCTAGCCCAGAAAGATTTAGACTGGAATAGTGGGAACAAAATTACCCTTTAATTTACAAAGAAATGCTTTGTTTCAATAGCAGTGTGTGAAGACAAAGATCATTATTAGCTTTGTTATTGCAGATTGACATTAAATGTCAAAGAAGCCAAGAGAATGAGAGAAAAAGTTTATTATTCTGTTATTATTCCTGCATAAATTGTATTTCAGGATGCATTATGGGTATTGTAGATGAAAATGGGCTAAACTATGTGAAGCTTAAGGCCTGCTTCCTGTTTGGAAATATACATTTATATGTATAAAAAAATCAAATTGTACATGACAGGAACTATTTAAAATTTTAAATTATTTTTCCTTCCCATCTTCTTGTTGTTTACTTGGTTTGGGTATCTGATTTCCTTTTTTGCCTCTTTCATATAAATTCCTTTCAAATGTATTAGAAAATTATTAGGATGATGCAAATAATTTTCTTTTACATTACATCAGTTCCATCCTGTAATGTTACTCGTTACACCCTGATACCAACTCTGTCAGCACTGGATATGCATATGTTAATCACTGGGGTCCAGAAAAGGACAACGTACAATGAAATTCAATGTCTTAACGAATATTTGCAATTCTGAAATATAAAATAAAGGTTTTCTTCCTCATGCTCTTTTACTATTAATTGAAGAAAAGCCTACTGTGTTGGCATTTTGATGTCAGTTTTGTTAGTAATTATTTTCTTTTCTAAGTAAAGACATTTCATGACAAGCATTTTTCCTTATTTTAATTAACTTTGAGTGAATGTATGGTTTTTTTTCCTTCTTGCTATAGGTAACTGTGTAGGTTTAAGTGGGATTTTTTTTTTTTTTTTAATATAGGTCTAATATTGTCCTTAATTTTCTGTGTCTGACTTATTCTGGTTTTTGGTGGATTAAAGCATTCATTGTATTTGTTTCTGAAAACGAAAGGAAAAGTGCAGTGGTGTTTTCCAATGCCAAGAATTCATGAGCATTTAATTCAATGGTTATACATTTCGTGTAATTACAACTTCTACCCTGACCTTGCTCTGGAGCAAGACAATCAAAATTGTTAAGTGCTTTTGTTTATTGTTGCCAAGAAAAAGTATGCAACCTTAATCTATATTCTGAAAATTGGAATATGCTCAGTAGACACTATTTTGGCAGCTAAAGATTCTCTCTCTATACCAAGAAGCATTGTGGGATTGGGTAAAGCTGCCCTGCTTCCGCGAGCCATCATGCTATTACAGTTTTAAAGTGAATTCTCTGATCATCCCCACTTGACACTCACTGGCTCAGTTCACAGGGTGGTTTGGTAGGTGCAAACCAGGCTCTTCCGGGAGGAAGCTGAGCGCGGGATCTCTTCTCCAGGCAGACACTAAGTGAACTTCAGCCCCAGCTATCGGTCCAGGGCAGCCCTGAACCACTTGTGTAGTGCAATGTTCAGTCTGAGGCTCCAGACTGAATTTAACTTGAAATAAAATTCGTAAACCCTACATGCTGGAAACGTAGGGGCCTGGGCACTGGCTGCTTCAGTTGACTGATCTGCTTCTATTACGCCAAATTACTTGGTCATGTGGATGTAGCCGAGAACCTCTTAAAATTGTTCCCTTCAGCAGTCAGGAAGGGTTGTGATAGGAGAAAAAGAACAAAACAGTCTCCCTCTGCAATTCACAACCCAGTCAAGGAGTATGAGGATGACTTGAAAGTGCTGGGATGAAGAACGGTTCTGAGGAGCCAGCTAATGACATCAGCTGTTACAAAGGCTGGTTAAGTGAACTGGATGTAGGAACGAGAGGGGAGGACTAGAAGTTGAGCTGGGGATCTCTCTCCTGAGTTGAGACTCTGATAGAGAGAGGCTGGGGAAGATGCGGGTCTGTTAGGGCACAGTGTTATAATTCTTAATGGCTGTGAAATGCGCTGAGAAAACATTTGCTTTATTATCCTTAGTGCTGTACCCATGTCAGTAACAGAGGGCTGAGGGCTATATCTATACGCTTGTCAGCTTTTAATCCTGCTGTTTAGCACTGAAGAGTCGATGTGGCACTACACAATTGGCTTCATTGCTCTGTTTTTCTCTGTGTGCTTCAATGATGAACCCATTAAAGTATAAAGTATTACTGTTTTAAAATCAGCCAGCACTCACAGTTAGGAAATGCCAGAATTAAGTTTATTTAAGTAAGGATGATCATACTCAGGCTTTGAGTAATCTTTAGGAGAAGAATTTTCAGTGTGGTGAGAGTATATACCGAGGAAGAGTAAGCTGTTAGATGTGAACGGTCAAATGGGCAGAGATGACAGGCTGGAGGTGAGAACTTTGGACAACAGAAGACACAAAACCCAAGAGGAAGCAAAGCCTGGGAAGCTCAGTGAACCTTAGGTGCTGTCAGGTCCCATCTCACAGGTGAAAGGAGACCCTGAAGCACAGTGCCTGAGCAAGTAATGCAGTCCAGTAAGAGCAGATTCAGAGAATGAAATAATTGGTGATGAGGACCTGATACCTATCTACACTCATTGCATTTGCAAAGTGAAGGGGGTGTTGCTTTGGACTGACTCCTGTCAGCTCCCATGCCCTTTTGGCAGTGGTAGTGCTCCTGGGGTACATCTTGTGGTTTTCGGTTTCATCTGAAAGGAACCAGGTTTGTGCACTCCAGGACTGCTTCATGCAGCAAATGGAAGTGAATTAACTAGGGTGGTAGGAAGATTTGTTGCAGAAGTGCTCTCCTTGTCTGAACTAAAGTACTAATGCAGAGGTACCCTGTGAGACATCAGAACTTGTACAAGCAGAGGGCCAGTGGAACAGTCATCTTAGAGCAGGGGCTCTGCTCAGGCAAGAGAGAAGTGGAAATGTATTTTGTATGGATGATTTTATGGTCATCTGTGACTTACTGTCTTGGATCTAGTGATAAGAACTAAGCATCTCACAGCCTTGCATCCCTGAGCTGCTGTAAAGAAACTCTTGCAATTCAGTGTGTTTTGTTTCAGAGAGGATAATAATTTTTTTTTCTTCTTTCTGTTCTCCAGTTATTCCAGTAGCCAGATTAGGAGATGTGTTGTCTTCCTTTGAGTTTCCTTTTTAGATGACACCAATGTTTTTCCTTCTAATGCATACAGGTGAAAAGGGAAGTGATCTTGACTAAAAATCTGAAATGAAATGATCTGAACCTTACTGCTGATATGCAGAAGTTAAAATGTGTTTGACATGTATGCAGTTCGTGTAAGGACTCTGCAGTAATTGCTGAAATGACTTTTACGTTTTGGATTTGCTTATAAGCACAACATTTTGCAGAGTGGGTTTTTTTAATTATTGTAAGAGTTAGTATTTTTAATTTTAATTAATGTGTTTTTACTGTATTTACTAAATTAATTTTAATGTTTTACAGATGGGGGATATGTTTTTAATTTATCAGTTTGGAAACAGCTGGTTTTTTAAAATGGATCAACATACTTAGTATGATTAGAGCTATATCATTGCAAAAGTGGGTTTTATGCATATAATTCAGGTGGTATTTTTTCTTTAAGGCTAAAGTTTCCTGAGTTGTAGAGTTGACCTTGTCTGTGGTCTATAATAGTCACAACAATTAGATTTAAGAATCATTAATAACTATGCTTAATTGCAACCTAATTTCTTTATATACCTGTGCACAAGTTTTCAATTAGTTTAAACATATGAAAAGGTTTAGGAGTCTTTGTTACCATGTTATTAAAAGATCATTTGGGACAAAGGAAAAATTGACACAGATGCTAACTTTTTAAAGGACCCAGTTTTAAATTTAACATGTCAACTAACTTTTTCTTTAATGGGAAGAGTATTTTTTTTTATGGGGAGCATATACCTAATGTGTATTGCATAACAAGATGGCTAAGTCATTATTTAAAGGCAAAGTGAAATGTTGTCAGTTTAAGTCACTGCTTCTGGTGTCATACTTCAATTACCGTACCCCTGTTTGGGCTTCTGCATTCAAGTGTGTTATATTAGACAGTGCTGTTTGGCATGGCATTCTTTACATGGCTTACATGATATATTTTTGCCCAAATTATATGGAATAGGTAATGTATCTGACTTGCTTTTGGGGGTGGCTTTAATATGTTCTTAGAATTTTTCGTGTCCTCATTTTATATCACAACACTCACCTGAAGTACAGAAGTACTAGTA